GAAGGGAGAAAGAAAATCAATAAAAATGTAAATCTGGTGGAGAAAAGCTGTCCCAAGCTGGCTGTGGAGAGAGATAAGGCTGGGCCAGCTGTGCCCTGGCTGACAGAGGAGGAGAGATTAGGGAATGAGCTTGCTGCCACTAGGGTAGAGCAAAGCAGTATGCCTCCTCCTTCTGTCCACTCTGCTCTTCTCCCTCTTCTCCTCCTCCCTGAGGTTATTAAATCTTTTTGGGGACAGAAGGGAAGGAAACTTGTAAATTCTGATCATCAGGTGCTTGGACTCTAGTACAGTATCTTATTGTCTGCACAAGTTGTAGGGATGGGAGATAAGCTAGACCAACTTTACCTTCCAGGTGAGCAAACTGAGTGCCAAATCAAGTTATATATTCAGGGTCTCCATGAATCCGTGGTAGACTAAAGGTGTGAATTCAGATCTTACTGTCTCTATAGCTCTCATCACTCCATGAAGGGTTTAGCCTAAGACACTGAGTTCTTGGGAGGTCTACACCTGAGCTATAAAACATCTTCAACTTTTGAAATCATTTGTACAATTGTATGCCTGTCATGTGGCCTTATAATTTTCTTTCCTCTCTCTCTCTCTCTCTCTCTCTCTCTCTCTCTCTTTCTGTGCTGGGGCTTAAACTCAGGGCCTCATGCTTTCCCTTGGCTTTTTTGTTCAAGGCTGGTGCTCTACCACTTGAGCCATAACTCCACTTCCAGCTTTTTTGCTAGTTAATTGGAGATAAGAATCTCATTGATTCGTCTGCCCAGATTGGCTTCAAACCAAGATCCTTGGATCTTAGCCTCCTGAGTATCTAGGGTTACAGGCATGAGATGCTGGTTCCCAGTTATAATTTTATTTTTTAAAAAATAAAAATTGGGTGCTGGTGGCTCACACCTGTAATCCTAGCTACTCAGGAAGCTCAGATCTGAGGATTAAAATTCGAAGACAGTTCAGTCAGGAAAGTCTGTAAGACTCTTATCTCCAATAAATTACCAAGAAAAAAAAAAGCCCAAAGTGGAGCCATGGCTGAAGTGGTAGAATGCTAGCCTTGAGCACAAAAGCTCAGGGACAGTGTCTAGGCTCTGAGTTCAAGCCCCAGGACCAGCAAAATATATAAAGTAAGTAAAATAAAGTCCATGTCTTTAATCAGATCCCAAAGGACATTGCTACCTGCCCCTCACTGCACAACCCAGGCTGCCTGCCTGTAGATGGTAGTCTTTGAGCTGGGCCTTCATAAAGTGGTGATGGAAAGCTACATAGTGGGGTTGAAAGTTGGGTAGAGAGAGAGAGAGAGAGACCAGCACAAAGCCATGTTAAGGAACAAGAATTTAGCCCTCCCAGATAATGGTGAGGGTGTCCCTGGGTTTTCTGCCCTCAGATCAGTGTGTTCCTTATGGCTCCAGGATCCCTACTCCTCAAGGGCATCTGCATGCTTTATAGCTTTTCAGTTTCTACAAGAAAAAGAACTCAGGGCCTGGGATTAGGATGTCAGTAATGGTCCCTGTCCTGTCCTCTGATGACTTTACCACCAGCAGAATCTAGAACCTGGCAGGGAGGGTTAACACCGAATCCTCCCTGGTACAGTATAGAGAGACAATGAGCTGGGGCTGGGAAGGTGGCTCAGTGGTAGAGTGCTTGCCTTGCATGCATGAGGCTCTGGGTTCAATTCCTCAGCACCACATAAGCAAAAAGGAAAAAAGCCAGAAGTGGTGCTGTGGCTCAAGTGGTAGAGTGCTCACCTTGAGCTGAAGAGCTGAGGGACAGCGCCCAGGCCCAGAGTTCAGGCCTCACGACTAGACCCCAAAAAAAAGAAAAAGAAAAAAAAAAGAGAGATAATGAGCTCACAAGACACAATTTCTGGTGGGTCTTTATTGAGCAGAGACTATGTGTGTGTATGTGGAGGGGGGCAAGCATGGCTCTTTAGAGGCCCATAATCTCTGGGAACCCCTGTTTCCCTTCTTTACTCCACTTGTCCCTCTCATCTCCCATAGCCAGTACAGAAAACTTCAAGAACAAGGGAAAAACTTCCTCTCCTCTCCAGGTCTGGACTCACCTCAGAGGCTGACTCTGTACCAGGCAAATGTTCTGAGATAATCTTCACCAATGGTTTGCACGATCATATTTAATAACATCTACAAAAGCAAGACATTTCAACCCTTTTCCCCCCATTCCAACTTCCTTTGTGGCTCAATGAATGTCCATTGGCATTTCAGGGTCTGGCCGAGTGGCTGAATTGAATGTCATTGTCAGAGTCTTTGTGTATAGGTAAACCATGGTAGCCATCTCTGTATAAAGGATGGGACATTATGGTGTCATCTTCAGAGGTCATGCTGTGTGTTTGTGGTATTTGACCCTGAAAATGCAAGGGCAGTAGAAGGAACGGGAAAAACAAGCTTTGAAATGCATAGAGTCAGAAACGAGGCTGTGGAAAATTCTTCCAATCATCAAAAGGAAATGTATTTTAGAGGTATTTATTAAAAACACTTAGAGGTGTACCAGGAAGTTAGTTACATTTTAAAAATATGTCATTTTTTTCTGGATGGTGTGATTTTTTTTCTTGTCTTAGATAAACACTCACCTTCCTTTCTAATTTTTTACAGGTTGAATGAGCATCTCTAATCCCAAATTCTAAAATGTTTAAAAACCCAAAGCTTTCTGAGTGTCAACATAATACTACAAATGGAAAATTGCCACACCTGATCTTATGTGGTGGGCCCCTGTCAAAGTAGGGGGGGGATACTGAAAAATACTGTATAAAATTTTTTAAGCTATATATATATATATATATGATGCATAAAAACCTAGATAAATTTCATGTTTAGATTAGGGTCCATCCCCAAGACATCTCATTATATCTACCTAAATATTCCAAAATCTGAAAAAAAATTCCAAAATGAAAAACCATTCTGATTCCAAGAATTTTGATGAAGGGTTACTCATCTTTCATCCATAACTTTACATTCTTTTTTTTTCCTTTTAATCTCCCAAGCTGAGCACTGGTTCCTAGCTACTCAGATGGTTTAAAACCAGTCTGAGGAGAGTCTGTGAGACTCTTATCTCCAATTAACCACCAAAAAGCTGGAAATGGAGCTGTGGCTCAAGTGGCAGAACATCACCCTTGAATGAAAAAGCAGAGGGACGGCACTTAGGTCCTGATTCCAAGCCATAGCACTAGTACACATGTGCAAAAATGTCTCAAATTGTATTAGCTTTCATCTCACAAGATCCGATTCCGACTCTGGCTCTCCCGTTGCTTCCTCTATAGTCTCAAGCAAGTCATTTAGGTATTTTGAGTTGGTTCATCTTTTGTAATACATGAAAGACCATTAGACAGGTGGCTTTGTGGCTATATTCCACTTTTAAAAATCATTACTAGAAGAAATCTTGTTTAACAAAAGTTAAACAAGAATACAAAGAGAGAGAAAGACAAAACATACCAGAAATAATGGTGAGTAATGAAGGCAGTAAAACTTACATCTAAATAACTATTGCAAACTTAAATCTAGACAACTGTTACAAACCTCTAGTGCAGTTTATTAAAAAAGAGAGTTTTGTAACAGGAGAGATATTATGCAACAACAAATTTAATATCCATGGAATCTATAATCCCAGATTGTTACTGCTAAACCTAAGAAACAGGAGGGAAGGGGAAGGAAAATAAACATACTAAAAGGACTCATCTTGGACTGGAGTCAAGTGGGAGAGCACTTGCATAGTAAATACAAAGCATTGGGTTCAATACCCAGTACTACCAAAGAAAGGTCTTATCTTGTTGGAGTAGACTTTGAGAAATGCTTGGCACTGGTTAAAAACAAAAAAGAAAACCAGAAAACCGGCTCAGATATTTGTTAAATATTTGTAGTCAATATGTAGAAGAGGCGGGGAAGGTGGCTCAGTGGTAGAGTGCTTGCCTTGCATGCATGAGTCCCTGGGTTCCATTCCTCAGCAGCACATAAGCAGAAAAAGCTGGAAGTGGCACTGTGGCTCCAGTGGTAGAGTGCCAGCTTTGAGCTGAAGAGCTCAGGCCCTACGACCGTCAACCCCTCCCCGCCGCCTCCCCCCCCAATATGTAGAATAAAGCAAGAATTAATTTGGATTTCTATACTTCCTTCTTCCTTCACATGGGAAAGCCTTGACCTTGGGAGCTGCTCAGAGGACCAGAGTCATGTAGGCCCCACTCCCCTCCTGCCCAGGGCAGGGCTGGGCATCAGGGTAGAAGAGCCCCTCCCAGCTAGCTAGAGCATGTGATGACATAGACTTGGCTGAGGGAAGATCAGAAGTCATTCTTCCCCATGGAAATAACCAGGCCAGATAAGAAAGTGAGGTAAGGCTTAACTTAGAGGGGGTGACCAGAGGCCACTGTGACTTAAATGTTACAGAATCAGACATCATCTCCCCACCCCTGGGGGACATGTACTCAGACCCTGAGAAGAAAGGGGTGGAGAATAAGAGTCTATTCACAAGAGGCTCAGTGGCTTTGGTGGAAGTTCGTTATGTGTCAACAAGGCACAGGTAGAAGTGAGCACATGAGTGTCTGTTTGTCCTCTGAAGTTCCAAGGCAGGGTCTGAGCTTCTTCCCCAAATACTGGCTTCCTGAGGATAAGGGTTGGGATTTCCTAAATCAAACAGAGAATCTGTCCATATAGGCTTCTCTCCAGCACCCTTATTAAAGGCCTTGAAAGCTGGGTGTCCTGAGTATGAGGCCAGCTCTGGGCTCTGCCTCCAGGGGGCGCCAAATAGACACTTCTTGATGGCTGTTTGAGCTTGGGGAGGAGACCTGAGCCTATGCTGACCACACAGATGATCATGGCTGATGGAGCCCCAAAGCTGGAGAATGCGTTCCTGCCTAACAGAGGAAGTGCCTGAGACTCAGAAAGGGTGCTCCCAGTGAGTGGCAGAGCTGGGTTGAGGCTCATGTGGAGGACAGCCTGGTCTACTTTGGTCTACTTTCTTATGCCAGGTAAAGTTTTCAGTTCTTTCACTCAAGAAAATTTGGTTCCAGGAGCAATGAAGAAGACACTCTGGCTTCAGAAGTGTCCATCACAGCAACTCCCCAATGACTCTGGTTCTAATGACAAACAAAAGCCCAGAGAGGGCCAATAGCTTGTCCAAAGTAACTCAGCAATTTGGCAGAGAAGCCAGAATTGGAACACAGTATTTTGGACACTCAGTCTTTGGTCAAAAGCTGAGAGAGTGTACTGCAAGGCTGCCATGCTTGACCAGGTGGGGCCAGGACCACTCACACCCTGGAATCCTCCGGCTTCTTCTCCATCCCTGATGCCAACAACTGCTGCTCTGGGCCAGGACTCGATACGATGGTCTTGGTCCTTGTGTCTTTGTTCTGCTGCCTAAGGATGGCCAAAACTAAGGCAAAGCACACCAGGCTACCCATTTTGAAGAAAAACTGGAGGCCGATGAATCTGGGGGGGTGGAGGGAGAAAAAGACCCCTGAATTCAGGAGCTTGAACTGCAGTGCATGAATGTTCTTGGACAGGGTGGGGAAGCAGAGTGGAGTCAGCAAACAGGGCCTCTAGGGCAATTGGAAGTATTGAAGCCTCAGGGGTTGCAGACTCTGACTCCTAGAGGGCCTCCCTTGGAGAATGAGGAGGCTCTGCGGAGGATGCTGGGCAGAAGCAGAACCGCAGATACCTCTTGTTCTGTCCTTGACTACTGTGTGACCCAGATTGGCTCTGCCTCTCTCTGTGCCTTGCTAAGGGCTATGGGGGGGGAGGGTTGATAAGGACAGCTTTGGGTTGTCCCCCTCTCCACCCCCCCCCC